TCGGTTAGTACATGTGGAAGGGTCCCCAAAGGCTTTAAGTGCCATTTGGGCTTCCATTAGGACACGCCTAGATTTACTAGCTTTCATACTTCGTTTATAGCTTGTGGAAGTGTCCCAAAAAGCTTCAAGTGCCACTTGGACTTCCACATTAGGACCCTACGACTAGTATATGCTTTACTTGCTTTCCTTTTAATTGTTTAGCTTCTAAGTTCGTTTAGAAGGGTTCCATTGCCTACTAGGGGTTTCGTGCACACACACACAACTATCTTGCTTGCTTGTGTGAAAAATTTGTTTTGTAAGAAAGGTATAAGGGGGTTTAGTAATTTCCACTTGAAAAGGCTTGGTTATTAAGTGGCTCCTTGTAGCTCACCTCCCTTGATAGTGCAACTTGTATACTTAGACCTCCAAGTACTTAGTATTACACTTAAAAGAGAAACTCTTTGTGAAAATCTTTATCACTCACTTTGCAAAATTTAAGATTTGTGAAAACTTTTTCTCTTGCAAAAATGAGTGATCATTCTCATGAGAGTAGTGTGCATGGTCATCATTCTCCTAAGAGTCATAGAAGCACTAAAGAAGAACTTAGAGAACTTAGGAGTTATATTAGGAAAAAAAAAGAAAGAAAATGAAAAAAATAATGAAGCTATAAGAGAGTTGTTAAACAAACTTGTGGTGGGGGGTGAGGCTAGCAAACCCCATGCCAATGAAGGTCATGGGCCTTCTAAGCCCAAAGGACATGAAGGTGAAGAGCCTTCTAGATCTCATAGGCCTAGACATGAAGAAGGATCATCTAGGTCCAATAGCCGTCATTCACACACTCACTCATCTACAAGTGAAGGGCTTTATAGTAGTCACCATGATGATGGCTACTATCAAAAACCCCCTAGGCATCATAGGCCTAGGCGTGAAGCAACCTATAGAGAACCTAAGTTTGACCTTCCTCCCTACCCCATGCAATCTCACGATCTCACTTATGTACAACTTGGTTAGCCTCTCCAACGGGTATCTAATGTTAATGGGAATAAAATGAGCTGTCTTAGTCAATCTATCCACAATGACCGATATAGCATCCAAGTTCTTCACAGTCTTAGGTAACCCAACTACGAAATCCATAGAGATGCTATCCCATTTCCACACAGGTACATCTAAAGGTTGCATCAAACCGGAAGGTTTCTGGTGTTCTACCTTAGCTTTTTGACATACTAGGCAGGCATACACAAATTCCTCCACTTCCTTCTTCATCTTAGGCCACCAAAACATCTTCTTAAGGTCTTGGTACATCTTAGTGGCTCCAGGATGAATACTGAGACTACTCCTATGACCTTCTTTGAGGATTGCTCTCTTGAGTTCAGGCACATTAGGAATACACAGCCTATCCCTAAATCTCAATACACCATCCATTCCAACTTTAAACTCACTCTCCCCACCTTGGTTCAACTTCTCTACTAGACTCAATAAGAAAGGATCTACTCTTTGACCTTCTCTAATCTCATGTATCAAGTTATTAGTCACTTTCAAGGCTCCTAACTTAATACTCCTAGGGGTCAGTTCACATACTAAGCTCATATCTCTAAATTCCTCAATCATATGCAACTCCTTAATCATTAAAGAAGACACTCTCAAGGATTTTCTACTCAAAGCATCAGCTACAACATTAGCCTTGCCAGGGTGGTAATTCAGTTGAAAATCATAATCCTTAAGGAACTCTAACCATCTTCTCTGCCTCATATTCAGTTCTTTTTGGTCAAACAAGTACTTAAGGCTCTTATGGTCACTAAAAACTTCAAATCTAGATCCAAACAAGTAATGCCTCCACATCTTAAGAACAAATACTACTGCAGCTAATTCAAGGTCATGGGTAGGGTAGTTCTGTTCATGGGTTTTAAGTTGTCTAGACGCATAGGCTACTACCCTTCTCTTCTGCATAAGTACTCCTCCTAAACCTAATTTAGAAGCATCACAAAATACCTCAAAAGTCTTGCTAGGGTCAGGTAATACTAACACAGGGGCACTAGTTAATCTCCTCTTAAGTTCTTGAAAACTCTCTTCACAAGCAGAATCCCACACAAAAGGTTGGTTTTTCCTAGTCAATTTGGTCAAAGGTAAAGCTAATTTAGAAAAACTCTCTATAAACCTCATATACTACCCAGCTAGCCCCAGAAAACTCCTGATCTCAAAAACTGACTTAGGTGTTTTCCACTCAAGTACCGCTTCTACCTTAGAAGGATCTACAGCTATCCCTCTCTCAGAAATCACATGTCCCAAAAAACTTACACTATTGAGCCAGAACTCACACTTAGACAATTTAGCATATAACTGCTTCTCCTTAAGAGTTTGAAGGACAATCCTAAGGTGTTCAGCATGTTCCTCCCTAGTCTTTGAATACACTAGGATATCATCTATGAAGACCACTACAAATCTGTCCAAGTAAGGGTGAAAGATCCTATTCATGTAGTCCATAAAAACACCAGGTGCATTAGTCACACCAAAAGGCATAACTAAATACTCATAGTGCCCATAGCGAGTTCTAAAAGCAGTCTTAGGAACATCCTCAGCTCTCACTCTAATCTGATGGTATCCTGACCTTAAATCTATCTTACTGAACACACAAGCTCCAACTAGTTGATCCATAAGGTCATCTATCCTAGGCAAAGGATACTTATTCTTAATGGTCACTTTATTCAGTTGCCTATAGTCTACGCACAACCTCATGCTCCCATCTTTCTTTTTGACCAACAAAACGGGCGCTCCCCAAGGCGAAACACTAGGCCTAATGAATTGTTTCTCTTGCAGTTCCTCTATTTGTTTCTTAAGCTCAACTAACTCTGTTGGGGACATCCTATATGGTGCTATAGATATAGGTGAGGTACCTGGTATTAAGTCTATGCTAAACTCAATCTCTCTCTTAGGTGGTAAACTAGACACATCCTTAGGGAATACTTCTGGAAATTCTTTCACTAAAGGAATCTCATCTAGCTTACTATCAGTCTCAAGTGTTAAGGAAGCAAAGATCATGTACACTCTTTCTTTTTCTTTTAAACAAGTTTTAATGTTAGCAACACTGAGAAATTCCGTACTCTTACATTCACCAAAGGAAATAGACTTCTCAAAGCAGTTTAAAAAGACATGGTGAGAAGATAACCAATCCATACCAAGAATTACATCTAATTGATTAAGAGGCAAACAAATTAAGTCAACTAGAAACTGCTTACCAGAAACTCTCAAAGGACATTTCAAACATACTAGGGATGTAGTCACAGGACCATTAGTAGGGGTTTCAACAACTAAATCAAAGTTTAACAATGACATAGGCAAATTCAATTTTTAGACACAAGAGATGGAAATAAAGGAATCAGTTGCACCAGAATCGAATAGTACAACAAGAGGAGTCTCAGCTATGAAACAAGTACCTCGTATCAAATTTTTCGACCGAGCAGATTCAACACCACTAAGAGCAAATACTCTTCCCACAGTCTTTGGTCGTTCAGTTTATGATCCCGATCTAATGTCACACGTTCTTGGTGGTTCAGGACATTGAGTACTGATATGTCCTTTACCATTGCAGTTGAAGCAAGTAACCTCCCTATCACGACACTCTGATTTATTATGACCGATCCGCCCACACTTTCCACATCTTCCTGAAGAAATAGACATAGATCCTCCAATACTGCCAGTAGTGTTCACAGTGGATGGCTTACTTCTATTGGCAGCAGTCATATTCCCTTGAGATCTGGTAAGAGTAGAGTAAGGCTTACTCCTACCAGAAGTATTCGAATTCAACGCACGAATAGGACCTCCAGCTCCCTTGTAAAAGACAGCACGTGCACGATTGTCACGGTCATAAATTCTACTCTTGTTGACAAGGGTTGGGTAGTGATAAATCTCTTGATAATTAATTGCTATTTTTATCTCAGGACGAAGGCCGTTCACAAACTTAATACATTTAGCCCGTTCACCACCCTCACCATGATAATGAGTACAATATCGGACTAAGGCATCAAATTTTGCAGCATAATCTGCCACCGTATCATTCCCTTGTTTTAACTCGAGAAATTCAACTTCCTTTTGGCTTCTCACATCATCCGGGAAACATGGAAGACATTATGAAGATTTGAAAGAGATGGAGGTAAGGCAATTTGATAGGCTATTTCACCAATTCTTTTAAGGATTTAATAAGGACCAAGTTGTACATAAGTGAGATCGTGAGATTGCATGGGGTTCCTACTAGTATAGTTTCTGATAGAGATCCTAGGTTCATTTCTAGATTTTGGGAGAGCTTGCATGAGGCTCTAGGCACTAAGCTTAGATTGAGTTCAGCCTACCATCCTCAAACAGATGGCCAAACTGAGAGGACCATACAATCCTTGGAAGATTTGTTGAGGGCTTGCATCTTGGAACACGGGGGTAGTTGGGATAGTTTTCTACCTTTAATAGAGTTTACCTACAACAATAGTTACCATTCCAGTATTGGGATGGCACCTTATGAGGCTCTATATGGTAGAAGATGTAAAACACCTTTGTGTTGGATAGAACCTGGAGAAAATGCTATCTTAGGACCTGAGATAGTTCAACAAACTACTGAACAGGTTAAGATAATCCAGGAGAGAATGAGAGCAGCCCAGAGTAGGCAAAAGAGCTACAATGATAAGAGAAGAAAAGACCTTGAGTTTAAGGAAGGTGATCATGTATTCCTTAAAGTTACTCCTTGGACAGGAGTAGGCAGAGCATTGAAATCCCGTAAGCTAACTCCACGTTTCATTGGTCCTTATCAAATCCTTAAAAGAATTGGTGAAGTAGCCTATCAAATTGCCTTACCTCCATCTCTTTCAAATCTTCATAATGTCTTCCATGTTTCCCAACTCAGAAAGTACGTCCATGATCCTTCTCATATCATTGAGTCTGACAACATTCAGTTGAAAGATAATCTCACCTATGAAACAGTTCCTTTGAGAATTGATGATACGAGAGCGAAACAACTGAGAGGAAAGGAAATTCCGTTGGTTAAGGTTGTTTGGGGAGGAAATTTTGAAGAAAGCGCTACCTGGGAATTAGAAAGCAAGATGCGAGAAGCTTATCCATTCTTGTTTTCAGGTAAATTTCGAGGACGAAATTTCTTAAAGGAGGGGAGAATTGTAACACCCCAGTTTTCCAAAATATTATTATATGGTATTTAGTAATAATTTGGGCGTTATATTTTACTTTAATTGTATCTAGTTCATACTCCATTTATGTTTAATTGTAGGCTTTAGAAAGATGTGTGTGTTGTCAGGTCTAATTAGATAGTTGTGAATTTATTTGTTAAAAATCGTGTTTTGGCTGGGCTGATTGACAAGTCTCGGTTTTTAAAGCATAACATAGGCTGGGGTTGTCCGAATGATGCAAAATTGGTGGCTATGGAAAGATAAGAGAAAAACCTACAACTTTCAGACAAATAGCCGTGTTCTAATTTGGCTCTATTGATGGTCAAAATTGGCGGCCAAGTTTCTACACGCTAAGCTGTCCTAGACCTGTCACATGTTTCGGTATTTTAGTCATAACTCTCGTTTCAAAACTCCAAATAAGTCAAAATTGGTGTCTATAGAAAGCTAAGAGAACATTCAACAACTTTTATGAAGAAGCAATTTGCAAATTCTGCCGACTAGAAGGTCATAAACGGCAGCCAATTATCGGTGCGGAAATGGCATCCAACTCATTCCACTTGCAACACCAACTCATCCCACTTGCTACACCAGCTTCTCCATTTCGTTTTGTCCATGCTTTTCCCCATTATTTTACAATTTTTATGTGTTGTTTGAAGGCTATAAATAGGCCTTCACTCTTGCATTACAAATCGTCCCAAAAACACCTCTCATTTCTCTTCTCTACTAAATCTTTCTCTTCTCTTCTACTCTCTGTTCTTTCCCTCTTCTTCTCTCTGAAGACCAAGAAGAATCCATAAGAGGAGGTTCTGCTCTAGTTTAGCGCCTGTTATCCAGGTAAGGGGGGGAGTGGGAAACCTCACTTGGGGGTGTGGGAATAATTGTTAAATAGTTTGTTTGTTGGATTAGCTCCCGATCCCTTGCCTATTGTTTATTACTTTTAAGATATTCATTGAATGGAAG